TCTCTCTTCTGAGACCTAAGATCACACCTTGTAGAGTAAATATTGTTTCTGTTGATTTTATTTTATATTTTTAAAGGAGTAAGACTTTTTCTTCTCAAATACAGATTTTGAGCAGGAGAAGAACTTCTATAAAGAAGCTCTCTGTGAAGACTTAATGTACTCCTGTATTAAGCTTTGAAATTTTATCCATTCAATACTAGTATCTTTCAAGTAAATGCGGCTTCTGACCAGCTTGGTAGGTGTTTCTACTAATTATTTAAATTACATGAGTCTGAAAATTTTACATATATATTAATATTTGCATAATCTTGGCATATGTAAGTGCTACTGACCACTTAAAAAATAGCAACTGTTCCAAATGATTTGCATAAAAAAAGGATATACTTAGGAATAGGTTAAACCGAGGAGATGACTTCCCTGAAGTCATAAGAATTAAAGGGCCCCAAATAAAATACAACAGAGCCGGAGTGGGAGAACTAATATCACTGTGCCTTTCCTACACAGAGCAGCCTCCACGTCCAGTGCATTCATGTCAAAGCTCTGCTGACATTTTCCCAAGATTTTACCAACAATCCCAAAATCCATATGGAACCACAAAAGACCATGATGAGCTAAAACCCTGAACCAAGCATAGCTGATTTCAAAGAATATTATAAAAGATGTGGTGTTCAAGACAATATGGCACTTTCATCAAAACTAATAGATTAGACCAACAGAACCAAATAGAGCTAGCCTAGAAACAAATGAACACATGCTAAGAATACACAGGAGGAAGGACAATGTATGAAGGAAATGGTGCTGGGAGTACTATCCACTTGCAGAAAGATGAAATCAACCTCCTCTTACAGTTTATACAAGATCAATTCAAACTGGATTAAAACCCTAAACATAAGACTTGGATCACAAAAATTCTAGACTAAAACTTCTGGCTAAATCTTTTTTGACGATCTTTCCAATGATTAAGAAACAAACAAAAAAAGTAAAGCCAAACAAACAAACAAACAAACAAATAAACAAAAAAAAAAACAACTCCAAAGGCACAGGCAACAAAAGACAGTAACAAAGTGGACTGCATCAGATTCAAAAGCCTTTCTAGGGCCAAAGAAACCATCAGTCGTGTGGAAAGGTGACCTTTGGAAATGGGAAAAATCTTCTCAAATGTTGAACTTGATAAGCAGTTAGCACCCAAGACATATAAAGAACTCAAGAGAACTCATTGCAAAACACAACCAGCATACATGCTGCAAGGGCTGATATCAAAAGGCTAGATTATAACAATTATTGATAAAGACGTGGAAAAGAAGGAAGCGCCTCCCCTCTACTGCTGGAAGGATTATGAATTCATACACCTATTTTGGAAAACAGTATGGAAATTACTCCAAACTAAAGCAGAGCTCCTTTCAAGGAAATGAACTGATTTTCTCAAGGAGATCTCTGAACTCCTTTATTCATAATGAAATCAATGGAATGGAAATCAGTGTTGACCACAATTTAAGAAAAAAGTGGTCTGTGTGGCTTCTACAATGGAACATTACTTAGCTTTAAAAAGCAGTATATTGTGACAACATAGATGATGTTCAATTGTACTGTGCTACATGAAATAAGCCAGGCACAGAATATATACATCATGGTATCATGCATATGGAATCTAAACAAGACAAGGTCATAAAATCCAGGAGTTACAAGGTAAGAAAAATGGGGAGATTTGTGTCAAGGGTGTTAATCTTTGTTAGAAATTCTGGATTTCCTGTGCTCCACAGGGTGAGGTGAATACATTTCACAATACTGTACTACTTATACATTTGCTAGGTGCTAGATCTGAAATGAGCTTATCATACATGCAAAAAAAAAAAGGCAACTATGTGAGGTAATGAATATGTTAATTATCTTGATAGGGCTAATCATTTCACAATGTGAACATATGTCAAAACACCACATTGTACACCTAAAATATATACTCTATTGACTTGCCAACCATCCAACAATAAAGCAGTAAGAAAAGACTTCCAAACTTAGAGGCCATTACCCACCATCAAACCAGACATGTATTTGAAAAAAAAATGTAGGAATAAACAGTATTCAAATAGTACACAATTTACCGAAGGCACCATGCTGTGTTCTTTTCTTTGGGAGAGTGGTTATCACGCACTGAATTTATGACATGTGACCACAGGTCTTGTGTCCAATCATGGGTCAGTTGTGTTAACTGACCCTGAGTGCTTGTCAATCACAGGAGGAGGGGTGGCTTCTGTTCAGTAGCTTGCCTTTTTGCCCATCTTTGTGTTACTTATGCTCTGTCTCTGTCCACTGCAATAAGCTCTTGACACAGAGCTAGATGTACAGAACGAACCCTGTCAGTATTTGACGAATCAAAATGAACCATTCAGGATGTATTCTGGGAAATCTCATGAGTGAAGTGTTCTCTGCCACCATGGGAGAGCTGAGAATATAGAAGCACAGAGAGGTGGCCTGCTAGAGGGGAAGGAGTCCCAACAGATTTCAAAGTCCATGTTGTAAAGGTTATATGGGAAATACCTCAAACTGCCCATAATGGAATAAGTAATATATACAGCCTTGGTATTCTTATTACCTTGCTGTTTCTCTGAGCAGACGATGAAAGCACATTTATTGATTTTTTTTCCTTTATGCCATACTTAATACAAATTACATTGGTATTTTCAGAAGAACAGCACTAAAGCCCCACACCTTTTCTTTCAGATAAGCTATTTCTTGACATTTAGTGGAGTGACAAAATATTCCTTTAAATTTGGTTCCGTTTAACCAGAAAGGCCCTGAGGCCCAGAGCCGGCAGCTTGTGCCTATAACTCACACTTTCTTCCAGGCTTGAGGTAGGAACAGCTGTGGCTTGTTGCCCCTATTGGGTTTCATGGGAATTTGCCCAGTTTCCATGGTGGACTTTGTCCAAAACTGACTAGAGAGAGAAAGAGTTTTACATTCTCCTATATTTTATGGCTTGGCAAACTCAGTTGCCCAGTTCTCTCTGATGTCCGTAGCCTCAGTGTCAGGTGAAAACAGGAGGCAGGAGGCCAGTACAGGTCAGACCTCGGATGTGTTCTCTTACAATGCGTGTAAATGGAATGGAAGTTTCAAAGCTGTCCTTGAAACAGAGAATTTCAGATTTTGTTTTGGTAGAGTCTGTAAAAAGTCAAACTTGGATGAGATTACCGAAGGCATGGCATTCGAGACCCCTTAGAAATGAGAAACACCCACTTACACTCCTTTCCTCCACGACTTCTCAAATTTCTTTCTTTCCTTGTTGTTGACTTCAGGCACTTGTCTTTGTAAACACTGAAAGTTAAGTGTTTTCTTCCTCACAGCTGAGTTGTTCCTAGCCAGTCTCTACTTCTCACAGGTGTAGAACCGTACCTGGTGCCCAACTTCTCCCACTTTCTAGAACTTTTGTAAAAGTTGAAGAGAAATCTGGTGGGGATTCCCTGGTCCCACCAGGAGATTGACAGCCACCCCAGAGTAGATAGAAACCAACAAGAACAGAACACCTCTGATCAGCTTTTTCAGCAGATTGTATCCTGCCAATGACCTCAGGAATTTTTTTCTTTTCTTTATGTAAATTGCTATCTTTTCAGAGGTGCCTGACAGCTAAGTTTACAGGGCCTCCATTTGTACAGAGCTGTTATTATGGGATAAGTGTAATGGTTCGTGCATTTTGCAGAGGAGGGGAGGGTCTCCAGATGACTTTGTACGAACCAGCCACGGACCTATTGACTCCAAAAGCAGTGCATTAGGCTAAATATTTTTAGCCCATTGACTCTAGGGATAATAATACTAAATGCATCATTAAATTTTCATGGGTGAGTAACAGAAGCGATCAGAAAAAAAAAATATAATTCCCCCCCCCCCCAAAAAAAAAAAAACAAGCCACCACATTAGCGTTATTATCATCCAGCTGGAGGAGTGTGGCCCCCGAAATAAAGAGTAAACTTTAAAAGCAAGTGTTGCCTTCTCTTCCCTTTGCTCTTGGGCACCTGCTAGCTCCGGGAGACAGGCAGCAGGTGCCTTTTCACACTATCTTCTCCCACCAGGCATTCAAGCCCCTGGAGACTCCTGTGCCACACTGGCGTTGACAAAGCTGAAACCAATCTCAAGGTGGAAGAATTTCCGACTAATCCAATTATTTTTTGCCACTTGGTGTTCCTGAGATTCTTTGTAAGTTAGGACCTGAAGAGACTTCTTCAGCACAGCAGGTTCTAATTTATGGGCTGGTCTATTTGCTCTGAATTCTAAGACACGAGTAGGGAAAACAGTTAAATGGGGCCTGCGTGCCCTCAGGGGCACAGGACGCTGCCTGGAGCTGATGAAATCCTGACAGGTGCAAGCCAGCTTTGCCTGGGAAACGCCAATAAAAGGCGGGCAGAAGCCAGCCTGGGCGGTTGGGAGAGAGCGCCCCCTTCTGTCAAGGGGCGCGGGGCAAGAAGCTCGCCGAGCCTCAGCTTGGCCGTGTGCCCTCTCTACTAGGGTGCGTAAGGCTTGGCTCAAAGCAGACGCTGGAGAAACGGCGGAGTCCGGGAGGAGGCTGGTGCGGGCGGCGGAGGAGCGTGGCCGGCTCGCAGCGTGGCCCCCTCCGCGGTGAACCGCAGGGCGGGGACCCCGAGCTCTCGGCTCCGCTCCGTCCCCACTCTCAGGATGAGGGCCGAGCGCAGGGGCTGCAGAAGCGCGACCGCGAGTCGCGGCGCCCCCGCTCGCCCGCTCGCTCGCTCAACCTCTCGGTCCGCGCCGCGGCGACTCCTCTGAGCTGTCGAGCGCGTTCGGGCGGCGCACGGAGCGCCCCGGCGGGAGAGGGAGCCGGCGAGGACGCCCTCGGAACGCACGGCGGCCGGGAGCTGGCAGGTGAGCGGCGGGGTTGGCGCGGGGCGGGGGCCAGGGGAGGAGGCGGGTCCGCGCGCCGCACCGGGGGTGGGTGGGTGGGGGGTGGGGGACGGTCTCCTCCCCCTGCTCTGACGCGCGCCCGCGGCTTCCCGGGGAGGATGGACCCAGCTCGGCGCTCACCCGGGCTTCCCCGGGCTGGAGAGCGCGTCTGAGTGCGGGGCCGCCCCGCTGGGCATGGAGAGCCGCGTACCGGGCGGCTGCGGCAGCCGTGGAGAGGATGCTCCGGGGAGCCGAGGTGAGGGGGCGAGCCGGGGGTTGTGGGGGGGGAGACGGGGGAGGCACGCGGCGGACCCCGAGTTGAGCTCGCGCAGGTGGCTCGCGGGGACCCCCCGGCTTCGGCGAGCCCCGGTGGCTCGGCTGGGGCCCGCGAGCCCGGCTCCGGAGGAGGGCTTTCGCGGGGCCGCGTCTCCCGGGAGTTTGGCCGGAGGTGCTGGGCTCCGGCGAGTGCCGCAGTTTCTCCGTCCCCTCTCGCCACTCGCTCGCGGAGGGAGGCCACCCCGCGTCTCCTTCCCGGGCGCTCCCTACTTGTATCGCCCTACTTCTGAACACGCGCGGTCCTCTCCGAAGGCTCGCCTACCCAAGACCCTGTCTCCGGAACCCCTGGATCCTCCTCCCTCCCTCCGCCCCGGCTCAAGCCACCCCGAGGCTACCTCCTACCACTCTGAGACCTGCTGAGTTCTCCCCGAGCCCCCCCCCCCCCCCCCCCCCCCCCACCCCCCATTCAGTCCCCAGGCCCTTGGTCACCCGCCATCCCCTCGAAGCCGGTCCCCTTCTCCCACAACTCTGTGCCCCACGCTCCGTCTCGAAGGCGGCATCGGGATTTTCATGCTGGGGAAACTTTGATTCCCCACGGTTAGTCTCATAAAGGAGCCGTGCCACCCCGTCTCCGCCGCGCAGGGAGCCCAGGGTCGGGGAGTCCTGACTTGGGGGTGGTTGTGTTGGGGCGCCGGGGAAGGGACTTGGTGAGTCCACAAAGTGTATTTCCACACCCCGCTGGCCACTGCCTCCGCTGCCTGCGTCCCGCCGAGCGTGCTTGGGACCCCTGCCGGGAGGGTGCGTCTTTCCTGCACTTTTAAAGGCGCTTTTTTCCCTTTTCTTTCTTTCTTTCTCCGTTTTCTTTCGCGGGTGGTGCTAACGGACCCGTTGTCGGTGGGTAAAGAGAAAGCTGCTTGGCAAACGGGTGCCCCCAGGCTGCTGCGTAGTCCGCTACCAGACCCTCGCCAGGGTTTCACTGGTTGTCAACTGGCCCCAACCCCCAATCTGCATTACACAAGTCCTCATTGTTGGGGGGTCTGCGGGGTATTTCCGCCTGGGCCTGGAGAGTGAAGGCATGGGGTGGGGGCGGGGAGCCCGCGGCTCTAGGCGACCGTCAGGCGCTGGAGACGTGGAGAGCGCCGCGGCGCGGGCAAGTGCGAACCCGGACGAGTGTTTTCTGAGGCTGGGTGCGTGCCCGCGTGGGTCGGTGCCTGCGAGTGCGTTTGTGTTTCCGCGCACGCCTGTGTTTGGCAGAGAGAGAGAAAGAGAGAGAGAGACAGAGAGACAGAGAGAGAGAGAGAGAGAGAGAGAGAGAGAGAGAGAGAGAGAGAGAGAGAGAGAGATTGCAGAGGCCGGAGCGGGAGAGAGAGAGAGAGAGAGAGAGAGAGAGAGAGAGATTGCAGAGGCCGGAGCGGTGTTCTCTGCCCTGAGCTGGTCCGGCGGCTAGGCCTCCAGAAGGATGCTACCATGCCTCCCATTGCCAAGCCCTGGCAGGAAGAGCATCCTTGTCACAGTTTCCCCCTGTTCTCGCGTCGAGCTGGCCCATTAGGCACACTTTCACAATGTTGATGGTTTTGAATAAAGGCCTTGTGGGGGTTCCGCTGTCACTTCCCAACACTTAACTTGTTTTCAAGTAAGCATATAAATTAAAGGTGGTTTACGTTCAGAACCTCCTAATTATCCAGTTCACGTTTGTACATTCATGTGCCAATTATGGGCCTTCGGGAAATCCATAAAATTATAAACGATCCCACCCCCTGAATTAGCACCCATTGTTTATTATCTCCAAGATGAACAATTCTGGATGGAACCCTGAGTTGCGCAGGTTAGGTAGAGTACAAACGCCCCTTTCCCATCCCTTTCCTTCCCTGTCCTGACAAGGCTTGCTAGCTCTTCTGGAGACTGAAAGGGATCAAAGATTTTCCTGATTTCCCATTGAGCTGGGCGACCTAATCAAAGCTGTATAAAAGTCAACTTCTAAGCAATCAAATTGTCTGCTGCTGTCCTTGATTGAAACCCTGGCATTCAAATGGAGTATTGAAGAACTCTCAGAAATGGCTTTTGAAGTGCTATTGTTCTTTTCCATACACACAGGCTCTAGTAGAGGTTTAGGAAGTTCAAATGCAGTGATGTGAAAGGACAGACTTTGTAACTATTTGGCAACGCAGGATTTGCAGCGTTGAGAGAAGAGGCCAAAGTGGGAAGTGAAAACGTGTTGTTATTATAACCCGGTGGCTCTCAAGTGGAGTGGTGTTCCACTCATGAACTTGGCAATTAAATCTCCTAATGCATATTTAAAATGATTTTTAGTAGGATTCTCTTTGTTATTCTTTTAATAATTATTTTTTTTTTTTGGTGGTGGTTTGCTTAAGGTCTGAATAGGCTTATCTGAAACATTTAATCATGTTCATTGTACTTAACAGAAAAATCTGAATAAAAATTACTTATTGTTGATGAAGCTCATCTCACAGGCTGTTTCTCAGTATGTCTCATTTGCAAGAAGCACCATTGTGTGAGGCTGCAGGGGAGGGATTCTATCACTTATTGTTCGTTTTCTCCTCCCCAGAGCCACAGATGAAGCCTAGGCTTCAGTCCCCTTTGCCCTCCAAAGTCATTTTTCTTAAGCAGGTGGGTATTCGGCTTGGTTCGTGATCATGTACCCATCTAAAAATTGCATTTGGTAGATTCTCGAGGCTTGGAGCCATGCTGCAGGCAGACGAAGAATCTATTTGAGGCAGCATTTCATTTTGATAATTCACTCAAGTCAAACATAAAGCAGGGAAGCACAGTTGATGCCTTTTAGATGGCACTGTAACAGATAGCGTGCATTAAAGGGTGTTGTCAGAAACTTTAAATGTTATTTAGGACTCACTAAATCTTACCAGGCTCATTAGTCACTAGTGACAAAAGATGTACACTACTTAAGCAATTAAGAATAAATCATGTGACTTCTCACAACTTGGATGTTATCATCTGCAAAACAAGGCCCCACTTTGTGGGTTTTGGATCAGTTTTGGCACATAATAGGGTTTTAAGAGGATGGTAAATTTTAGTAATAGCATGGAAATTGGGTAAGGAAAATTGCTGCCTTTCGTAATTGGAAGGCTAGGCTTGGATCCACGTGTCTTCATTGTGACACGTGACTAGTCATTCCTTATAGTTCCAAAACAAGAATAATCTTCTTGAGTCCTAAAGGCCACACACACATCCTTCTCAGCACTTGGCACAAATTATCTAACTTCATCGTTCCGACATCCTTGGCCCCCTCATTCTTGTTTGTTGGATGGGGAGCAGGCACAGGGAAATCTGGCCATTGAGCTGAGACCACCTAGGAGTTAAGGGAATTGAAATCCACCTTCCCACCCTAGTCCCAGGATATACCCTGACCACAGGTAATGTTGCTCTGGACGGGGAAGGGGAATGAGCTACCTCCAGGACCGCTGTGAACTCTAATCTGGGCATGAGGAAATGGTAAGACCTCCTGTGAAAGCAGGTTCCAGATTATTTCCCAGTTTGCATTCAGCTAACACACGCGGGCGTGGCTTTATTACCAGCAAGCCATTGGAGCAATGGTTGCACTTTGAACACTTGTGACTTTGGTAGATTTTCTAGAAGGTACTGGTCGGTGCTGGGTCATAGCTGTCTCCTCTGTGGCAGTATTTATTAATCAGGTAATTAATCAGCAAGTAATTAATTGGGCAGCTAATTGTAGGGCATCATGGCTACTGTCTGTGACTGCTGTGCTAAACCAAAGCTCAGAGGAAGAGGTAGGCTCACAGCTGGTGTGGATTCTCCACAAGGGCTGTATCATCCACTTATAGACTTCAGCTGCCCTGGCTCTGCGAGCATTTCGCTGTGCTTTAGTTTTGGTTATGCTAAAGCGATAGTGTCTACTTCGTAACTGTTGTGAAGGATCAACAGAAAGTGCTTAAGACAGTGCCCGGCATGAACTATTACTATTGTCCTGCAGATGAGATAGAAATCCTTCCTCTTGGCAATGAACACATTCTCTCTTTTTGTGCCAGTTTTGCTAACCAGAGGTATGTTTCAAGATTGCTGGTGAGCAGTATATTTCCTGATGTTTTCCTGGAAGTGTGGCCTTAAGAATTCCCACTGTGTGAAAAGCAATCGTGGAAGTGCTGAAATAGTCATGCCATTGCCCCCTTCCATACTGATTCTGAGCAGAATAACATGCCTTTGATAGATTGAATTCTCAAGGTGGATAAGTCAGTTTGCCCTGTTCACAGATTGGGGCAGGATCTGGAGAGAGTCAGACTCCAAAAGACATAGGATTTTGCAGGTGAGGGGCTGTGTTGTAGCCCAGAGTCCACAGACTTTTCATACAGTGCTCCTTCTACCAGGCCAGATTGCCTTCTGTACCAGCATACAGAAGTGGCTTGAAAATATAAATAACACTTGGCTGGGAAGTTGCTGTCAGGCTAAGAGCAGGAACCAGCCAGACATTCTGTGCTGAGAAAGGAGTGTGAGTAGGAAATACACATTCATATCCATGAACACTAGCACTGTGTTCCATCTATGAAATGCATGTCAGGATACGAACTCGTGTAAACACAAAGCAAAACAGAGAAGCCCATTATGCCAGTTAATCACCTGAACATTCCCTGAGGTTGGAGAGCAAATGTTCAGTTTCTTTTTCTGTGACATTCCCTTTGTATTGTTCTTCCATTTAGTCCTCAGATACGAGGAGGTTTTGGTTCAGGAATCATAAAACTCCTTTGGCATCTATTTCATGAAATATGCAGCATATTCCATTGGAAAGAAATTGCCAGCTTGCTTTTATTATTATTATTTTATTTTATTTGAACCTGACATGTATAACCAATCTACAGTGCCAGTGGGGGATTCTCATAAAGTGCAAGGAAAACAGAAATAAAATTCTGCTGAATAGAAGAGCTCACAGCTCAAATGATGAAAGTTTGTGTGTAAAGGTGGGCTGTTTAGATTAGGGATGAGGATGAG